CTGTTTTGAACCATTTTTCGACCGTTAACCGTCTGAATTTATTCCAACTGATAAGATATCATCCAAGAACGTGGTTAAGTGGTTACAACTGAGGATAAGAGTGAATCAACCGTTCTTATCCGAAAACAGAGCTCCCGATGCCTATAAATACAACCCCAGTGCCTTTATTTTTCAGATCAGGAATTCTCGAGCGTCGGCGAAGCCCTGCTGAATTGAGGACTGAAGAGCCACGAATTTCAGAGAGCAGGAGGAGACTTTAGCAAATTCTTCAGCATAAAGAAGAGGAGTTCGTCAGATCTGCAGCCCGGTTCTTTGCCTTGAGATTGCCCCGTTACGGTGATCTCGAGAAGAGTGATTATCTCGCTGTTACCGAGATAATTGCTTCGGTTTCTTGATTCCTTCACGAATCAATGAAACTTCGGATCTGATCTGATCGTTTGGTGGTCCACGAATTAACCCCGACACAGTCAAAGATCACACGTAAGTAGAATACCGATAAACGATCTCTGCATTTATTTTGACAAGAATTGTACTTTTTATTTTTATTGTGTAAGAGTCTTATAAAAAGACTACCTTTTTATTTTCATTGTAATTACTGAAGTTGTAATGAATACCTCAATGAAGAAACAATTTTCTCCCCAAACAGTAGCTTATACCATAATATAAGTTTTAAGTTAGAAAATTATAAAAGACATAGTGTTTAGAATCTCATGTGGGTATACATGTATATAGGACAAAGAATCTTGGATTCATTTGTTAGCCGAGAGGATCCCGGCATAATCAGTAGGTAACATTTCATTGTTTCCTCTCAAGTCTTTGAGAGTTCGATTGATTACTTTCTTGAAATTTCTGCGAGTTAGTTTCTCATGCTAATTTGTATATCTTATCACTTCCGTAATATTCCTATTTGATTCACTTCATGCGTTGGCTCTTTGTGATTGCTTAGCCATTGTTATCCTAATGTTGTTTATATCAGTTTTATATCTTTGATATATTTGATATCTTCGAAAGATTATATTGCAACATTTCGACTTGCTTTGATGATTCGACTATTGATAATGATAATATTCCATTCTTTGTTGATAATTGATAGTCTATATTCATGGATTAAGCCCTGTGTGAAGTAAGCTTTACCGGTGGGTGGTAATAGTAATGTGTCCCGATGGGGACAATGCCCTGTGTGAGGACGCTCATCGGTGGGTGTATAAAGGCATGCGTGGTTTATTGATTATCCCATGATTGGGGAATTTGGAATCCTTAATATTAGACCTTGATTATTCATCTTTACATGTTATTTCATTTCGGGCAATGATTACGATATAAGAATGGCAACTTAATGTTGAGATCCATTTGTTCAAGTTTGATATCTATGTATCATTTTCATTCGTTCCCTTGCGTTACACTCGAGATTTTTATGGTTACCTATTGGGCCTTAGGCTCACCCCTATTGCTTCTGAATCCACTCACAGGTCATACTACTGGTAAGGATAAGAAGAGGATTGCAGACTCTGAAGTTGAAGATTAGCTCTGGAGGAAACTCTTAGTAGGAGTTAATTTATGTTCACTTTTTGTAGTATTTTTGATTTATAAACATGTACAATGTTGTAGCCACTACTATTATTGTAATATTTAGTAGTTCCCTTTAGTGTTCTTCTATTTTGGTATTCTATGGACTCTGCTGTCAACCTCGTGATCCTGAGTATTGCATATACATCTCCACTGCCTTATTTTTCGCCCTTCGGTATATCTATGATGTGCATAAAGATTTAACAGGTCAACCATTCTCATTACAGATAGGTCATGCCCAAATTTTTATGTACCTCCCTGAGGGGCGTTACATTACTAATTCAATAGAGAGGGTTAAATACAATATAATTTGTAGAATGAGCAAATCATGAATACAAGAATGACTTTGCCAAACATAATAAATGGGAAAAGCAAATCATAGAGTTAAAGAGTGCATACATGATTATAAATAGTATAACAAATATGAAAATTAAGTCTCAATGGTTATACCATGGTTATACTTATCACAGTAATCAGCCTACATCGCCCAAGTAATGTCATCCCTAAGAGTCTTCCACTCATTTCTCGATTGAGTTTGCTCTCTTTGGGTTTGAGTTTCAGTAAAATCAACTAAATTATTGACATTCTCATTTGTCACCTCACCATCAATATCTTAATTAAGATCAGACTCATTGAGTAGTTCATCATTTGGATCAACGGTTGCAATGAAATTATTAAGTATCGTGCATGCCAAAACGATATCTACTTGTGTAGGAAAAGGGTTATGCGGCTTAGCACACAAAATCTTGAAACGATTCTTCAATGTGCCAAATGCAGATTCAATCTTAGGCCTCAAAGAAGAATGTCTTAGATTGAATAATTCTTTTCTATTCTTAGGTGCTTTACCCGAATGTCCCTTCAAATGATAATGAACGTCTCAGTATGAAGAGATGAAACCTGGCATGGTGGGGTACCCAACATCACGCAAATAATATTTTCCTACAATTTTATTAAGAAAATTGTTAAGGAAGTCAAGTTTTCATATTAAAATCAAAAGTTTTAAGTTAAAATTTTAAATAATTACCATCATAGACTCTCAATCCTTGAGATTGTGGTCTAGATAATGTATCATGGCGAATCCTATAATCATTTGCAGACCCCTCCCAACCTGCTAAAACATAAGTAAACAGCTTGTTTGGAATGCAAGCTGCAAGCACATTCTGTGTGACACCTTTGCGGCCTCTAAATCGTGCAACAAGATTAATCTGTAGCATTACGTCAACATGAGTCACATCTATTATTCCAATGCAATCGTATAATATGTGTGTCACATTACTAAGTTAACATTCATTTTCATTGAATTTACATACTCATGTGCTTAAAGTATAAATATACCTTGAAATAAGGGTAGTATACGGGTTGTTACTGATCTCTTGGGGAACATCATTAGGAGCTTGTCTCATACAGCGTCCACGTAGGCAAATAATTGCTTGTAATACCTTGTTAAAATATCTACTGACTGTCTCACCTAATCTTGTAAAATGAGACCTCACAATGCGATTTTTACATTTATGACCAAATAATTGCTTGTAATACCTTGTTGAAATATCTACTGACTGTCTCACCTAATCTTGTAAAATGAGACCTCACAATGCGGTTTTTACATTTATGACCTAAAATGTTTAGTGTCATGATAAGTTGTTCTTCTACTGTTACATTCCTTGAGTCTTTTAGCAGTCTATTGTTCCTCATTATACTTGCTAATTTAACAAAAGCACTACTCCGCATTCTAATATAGTTTACACGACTATCACTAAAACCATTATAAATACGCTCTATATGTTCAATTCTAGCATTTTCTTGTCTTATTTTTTCTCACGTAGACCATTACGAATTGATTTACGTCTAGCTTGCATTCTACTTATGAACATAAATATAATAATAAATACAGAGCCCTTTGAATTATGTTAACAACACTTTGTTCATCCATACAATCCCCATCACCATTCATCTATGATACAAACACCAAATTGAAATAAGCAATATGGCTAGCAAGTACGATAAATAAATATAAACAGTAAAGTCTAAATTATAATACGTAGTAATTAGTCACCACAACCAACCATGATTTATGGCTTTCATGGAAATATATTATACAGCGGTAATCAAATTGGAAATAAATAACTTGTCAATTTACTCATTTTTAACAAACCAAATAGTTCAAATATCATTCACAAACTCATAATTAAGAAATAGCAAAAAAACACCAAACAAAATTATAATCCTACTATTTTCTTTTCACTACCTCAAATCATACAAAAGTATAACTAAAAGAAATACTAGTTACATGGTGATGCATCGGGGGTTTAATCACGTTTTTAATCATGTATAGAAATAGTCGTATAAAAATAGCCAGACAACTGATTATGTGAGGATTTAGACTTGATCACCCATTTGTCTCAAGTTTTACAAATTAGTAAGATTTTGAGGCAGTCAAAGGAATAAACCAAAATCCAGATTCAATCTTTGGCCCAATCATACCAAAATTTGCCTACTTTTACCAAATCATGTTACCAGTTTTACAAGCAAATTATACCCTAAGAAATTTATGATAATTATCTGTTCAATTGAGTAATAATCCCAAAAATGTTAAATATGGCTAAATTATACATGTAATTGACGAAATTCAACAAATCAAGCAAAGATCCGACAAAATCCTCTAAGAAAGGCAGTGATTTCCCCAAAATCAGAAGCAATTAGGACAAATCGGACAGAGATTTCCCCAAAATCCGACGAAATCCTCTTTTACGTGATCCAGCAAAAATCCGATTAAAAATCAACAAAGATCTGAGGAAACGCAGTGATTTCCCCAAAATCAGAAGCAATCAGCACAAATCGGACAACATCAAGCTTCAACTTTCGTAGATCCAACGCGCGAAGAGAGAAGAAATGGCGGGACTTAACGATAACCCTAACCAACCAAGAGATTTCCCGAAAATATTGTAGATCTAACAAAATGACACAATAGGAGGGTTTTCGTGGGTTTTTCCACTCATTTTTGGAGGAAATCGCGACGAGCGATTTGATTGAGGTGGAGGTGTTTTCCGCCGTTGCAAACCCTAGATCCCTTTGCGAACCAATCCCGCACAAAGAAACGAAGGAAAGTAAAATGTCCGAGGTGGACACTGTCTGGAGAGGGAAATGGGTTTCGGGTCTCATTTTTTACGAACCAAACACCCCCTTAAACAAGAGTCATCTTCATCGAAAGCAAACATCACATTGAGAAATGTGATGGCAAATAATATACATTTCCAAATAAATGAAGTAAATCTATAAATCAAAGCATACTGCACTTGTCTCTACAGCCTTTATCCTTGCATCACATTGATTCAAAACATACAGTAGAAGGGATTACTTACACACGGACTGCTTCAAACATGAAGCAGAAGAGACTATGCCCCGAAGAAGAAGAAAATACAATAATTCCTCAGAAAGAAAATAAAATAACATCTAAATAGAAACAATGGAAGAATTTCCGCCATCTTTTCTACACTAGATTAATATGCACATTGTACAAGAATACACTAGACAAATATGCACATTGTACAAGAAAAGACGCATAACAAAGGGGACGAAACAGTTTCTGGAATAAGAATCATACAAGTCCTCTATTGAATATCATATAGGTAGTAGGATATGATGACACTTGGCATATCAGCGTAGTTATTACTATGAATGCATAGTGCAGCCACAACTGCAATGATAGACAATAGTGATTAGAGTGATAGACCTTATTAACGAGACGATTATCAAGATTCATGATGTGCTAGCCATTATATAGCGTCCCCTATAGGATTTTTCCAAGTTTTTCTGATGCCATGGGGTTCTCTATTCTTTTTTCCCCTTTTTCCACCTTTTTCTGATGTGATGGAGAAATCTACGTGATCTTAGAGCTCTTGGGTCTCCATTCGGTGTGCCCTCTAACAATCTCAGCTCCACATTGGAGCCTAAGCAGATGATCACACTCGACCTTGGTTTCAGGCGTACCATTCTTGCAGTTGGTGGATACAGAGGTGAGGGAATTCAGCACGTCATCCCTCCCACATTCTCTTCGGTATTCAAGACTCATGCTAGCTAGCTCATGGCTCTCAAGGAGTGAGACGGGTGTGCTCTAAAATTAGAAGGGGAAAAAACAACATTAGTAATGAAATTCATAGACTATATTGCATATACATTATGAGGGTGTAATCATTTAACGTTTTAAGACTATTTTAATTACTTTTTTTTTTTTGAAGGAAAGACTATTTTAATTACTAGATGATACTATTTTCTAAATTAAGTTGACATATCATGTGGGAACCATGTGACAAGAAATTACCTTGCCCTCAGTTTATCAGAAAAATATTAAATCGCCCTCTAAATTGAGGGCAAAACAGTAATGCACTATGATGTTTAGGGGTTGCAAGTGTTAATAAAAAAGTGTAGGGGAGTATAAATGGCTACACCATCATAATACAGGGAGGTGTATGGACAGGTAAACTTTATTTATGCACTCAAACTGCCAACCAACTAATATTGAATGCTGAAGCTGATACCCAACAATATCGCATGCAATTGAATGCTATAAAAACTTCATATGAGACATGTGAAGGTGACAGATTCCAAACTTCAGTGCAGCTGTATGAGTAACATAGAAGACACAACAATATGTTATAAATGTTATTTGCTGCACGCAACACATATGCATGTGAGTTATACCCGCAAAAGGACACACAACTAAATGGTTGTCGCATGTGAGTTATACCCACAAAAAAGACACACAACTAAATGGTTGTTGAGGAGAAGAATCAAGAGGGAGAATTAGGAGATAAAACAGAAGATGAATAGCTACTGGCTAGGAACAATGTCCTCTCTGCGTTTCTATGTCTACTTGCTTTAAATGACGGTGCGATTTGCCAAAGTTGTTATGGGAATGGGATCACTATGAAGACATGTTAATGAATCCAGAACAAGAGCAGCAAACAACAAGTACTAGAGAAAGTCTTGTTGCCAGAGAATTTTTCAGCATGGAAAGTTCTACCGGTAGAGAAGTACAGATATAATTCATAGTACCAAAATAAAAAGACTTGGGATAATTGCACATAGATCCCTCGCAGTATCGTTAAATTGAATATAGTACCCCTGTAGTTCATTTTTGCAGATAGACCCCGTGGGTTAATTTTTTACTCTTTTACCCTCAGACAGAACCACTAATTTCACCCAGTGGCAATATCTGCCAAAATATCACCAAGGGTAATAATAATAATAATAATAACCAATGTGGGGGTCCATCTGCTACAATGAAAGTACATGGATAGTAAGCGCAAACCAGCAATACTATAGGAAATTTCACCAAGGGTAAAAGAGTAAAAAAATTTAACCAAGGGGGTCTACCTGCTACAATGAAACTATATAAATAGAAAGCACAAAACGGCAGTACTACCGAGGGTCTACGACTTTACGTGCAATACACCACAGGAAAAAATTGGGGACGCCACATCGGCAATAACTGCATCCAAATTAGAAGATAGGTACAGTTTATAAAATTGATCATGTAAAAAGTTCTACTTTATCTAATCTACTATTTATTGATCGCCGTGTATTGGTGGTGATTTTGCAAGCCTGGGTGAATCAAGGGTTTCATAACAAAGCCAAGGAGATCAATGATGCCCATGTATAGATATTCAGAATGTGATGACATGTGTCAATAAGTTAACCCAAAACCATAAGACACTTCTACCTAAAATATTATACCATATTCTACGAAAGCACAATAAGTATGTGGATAGAAACATGTACCAAGAAGTATAGCATGATAAGTACCTCAAGAAGCCATCCAATATATTTGACATTGTTCACATGTTGATTGACATCCAAATCATTCCATCGAGGCTGCAGATTTATAAAGATACACAGTAAGAAATATTGAATCAAACTAAATGAAAAAGAAAATCAGATAACACTTCCTCCTTACAGCTAAGCCAGTTTTAACGTAGTCTGCAGTATTGTCATCAAGCTTAGTAAGCTTCCTGCTATCCTCATCCACAATAGCCTTATGCTCGATAAAGTATGGTCCGATTTCCGCTCTAACTTCTTCTGGCATTTTAGCCAATTTCCTAGTATGTTTATTCATCATCACCCAAACACTGCATGTAAAGGCAACCTGAGTTTATTCGACATATGCTACCATGTGTGTGTGTGTGTGTGTGTGTGTGTGTATTTGGAGCTAAATAAACATAAGGTAATGAAATAAAGAACCAACCTTGTTGCTTTCATGACAGTTTTGCTGGTTTTGACGTCATGGATACGCCAATCTCGGCGCATCCCATTTTTTCCAGAGGCACGGACCCAAGTATCTACTTCAACAACATCACCCCTGAAGCCGGAGGTAAAGAACTTAATAAGAAAATGATACATCAAGTTACAAATATAAGCTGGATACACAAACGAGTACTACATACAGTGTAATATTACTGTATCAAGGAACAGAAAAAATGAATCATCCCTACGGTAAAGAATACTAAAAAAATTAAAAATTAAAATAAAAATCCAAAAGTTTAAGGATTAAAAATGATGACTGTAATATTGTCATATCTAAGATAATCTAGGGTTTCTAAGTAAAAAAGAACAGATTATTCAGAATCTTAATTAACTGAGAAAAATCAGAAGTTTCAGCTGAGACTTTTCAGTGTGAAATAAGAAAGATTCAGAGTTGCTAAATGTGGACCACAAATAGAGTTGCTAAATGTGGACCACGAATACTCTAGAGTACAATTTTATAATGGAATTGGCAGCAAGCAGTGAAATACAGACCTAAATATATGTTACTTCAATTGCTATCAGTTCAGATGTAAGTATAAAATTTCAGAGAAAGTAACTTTCTATAAAATCTCATGCATAAATGCCATTCATGGGCACAACACAAAATACACCAAAAAAAGATGTTCCATGTTACAACAATATAATACTATCAATTCATTTTGGCGTCATATAGAGAAGAGGCTCACCATGAAGGATAATGTTCCACAAGAACCCGCATCTTATTGACAACCCATATCAGATTCTTTTTACTCATTTCAGCCGTCGCTCCAAACCCATCATCCATCAGCCCGACCCTCTTCACATGATTAAGCGATGTTTCCTACAAATCAACAAAACCACATAAAAACTCAAAAGGAAAAAAAAACACAAAATGCAAGAATTTTTTCTCAAACACGCCTGTAAATTATTCATTGTAATCTCTATAGGCGCAGTTTTATATTCCCCTATCTCGTAAGACCATATAGGATTGCTTTTGTTGCTGTAATTTATCTTTTTAAGTTTTCTTTTATAAAGTTTTTGTTGGATCAATTCATCATTGGTATTACGATGTGTGCCTACTTTATGCATGTTTGCAATAATAGGCCGATGAAAAATCTATGCATCTTGAAGCTGATTGAACAATTATCGATAATATCAAATAAAACAACAACATGCAATTATTCATCCAAAACAAACCTGCAAATGATTCATTAGTGTCTCTATCGATGCAGTTTTATCTGCTCCAATCTCATAAGACCTTATCGGAAAATTCTGCTTGAACACGAACCCATCTTGAACAATCCTCCCGAGCCCAAATGCATCGGTTATCATATCAGGCCTCCTCGGTTTCCAATCAAGAAGAGTCCATTGCTTCTCAGCAGCTAAAAAAATGGTAGTTATTGCAGCGAGAAGCATACTCCAATCTGGTAATTGATTGTAAAATGTTTTTGGAGCATTTGAACTCACTGAAGGAGCTTCACCCTCAATCTTTGTTTTGGTTCCATTAATTTTGGGGAGAGCTTGAGCATGGGTTTTGAAATCCACAGATTTCGAAGATGAATTGGGTTTAGCTGAGATTCCTTGCACATTTAGAGAATTAGGGTTATCCCCAAATGTTGTCTTTGAAGCTTTGATGGAGGAATTGGGTGAACATGAAGATGCTGGAAAGATCCCTGAGGCCGCCATCGCAGCCATGCTATATAGATAACTGAAGAACAACATGAACAAGGATTAAGCAAATAAAACTGCCGAATCAAATACTATAGTCAAATTTATATTTCCAATGTTTAAGTACCACATTGTTATGAAGAATGGTAATAAGTCATAGTTTGTACCTCATAAAAAAACCTATCCAATTCCATTCTTATAGTTTTTGCATCAATTATTTGTCAACCAAATATAGAAATTTTACAATAAAATTGCAGATATCCAAACAATGGGCTTGAAGTAGATTTTCTGCAACAAATAGCAAATGCTCCCACCAGATCCCATTGGCCTATGCTCACAACTAAGCCCATAAAAAATAAATTTTTAATAATCCCACATGATCCTGTACTCTAAAGAAACAAGAAAGACGAGCACTTCGCCAAAATTCATGAATTAAATCACGAAAAATACAGTGAAAAGACGTAAAATTACATCTTTGATGGAGAATTATAATCAAAGCGAAAAGAGAAAGAGCTTACCCTTTGGGTTCTAGGTCTAGGGCTCCAATCTTGGGAGTGATGATCTAGGAGAGTGTACGATATATTTATAGGTTCTCTAAATCTTCTGAGATTATGAGGTTAACCCCCAAATCTAAACCTCTTTATTCTTCAAAAGTTCTGAGCTTTTTGGAGAGAGGGCGGAGGGAAAGTTGCGGTACGAAAATGCCCTTCATTTGTTGGCGTTATTACGAGGAGGAATTTAAGTAGGAATTTTTCAGTTTTTTTTTCTTATCAATTACTTGGAGGACATTACAATTTGCGCAAGAATAATAACAAGCATTTTGTACATACATCCCTTAAATGAGTAGGGATCCTATTAGAACCACCCCGTAGGAGTGTGATGCTCCACACTATAAAATAGAAGAATCATAATTTTTAAATTAATCCTCTAACCATCCGTATATGGTAGAGATTGCTCTTTATATAAGGTGTCCTGGTAGAATCATTACTCAATTAAATTATGCACATTAGAAAAACTACCTCAAACCCTTTTTCTCAAAAAAAAAAAGAATCCCTCAAATCTTTTTTTTTTATCCATATGGTAATCGAACCCAAGCCCCCAATGAGGGAGTGACACGGGTTTGTCATGTGACCTATTAGGCCGCCCCAAAAATCCCTCAAATCTTAGTATTTGTAAAACTATCATAAATCATCACCTTTGGAGGAAAAAAGAAGCCTTAAAATCAACAAGTCGTGAATTTAAATATGCTAATTTATAATAATAACATAAATACATCAATAAAGCAGTCAAATATTTACTTGACATATACAATAAAGTTGGTGATTTGTTGATTTGAACGGTAATTTTTTGGGTTAATTGGATCATTGGTCATCGTATTCATCTCATAATTGGACGTTCTTACCTATATTTTAATTGCTTGGATAATCGATCATATAATTATATACTAATTGGAATACTTTTTTTTGGTCAATGAAGAAATATATTCATTTACCAAATGGAAAGTATTTGTACATCAGATATTCAGTATATGAACTGAAAAATCAATTACGAAAACAACTAGAAAGAATAAAACAAAAAACTGCTAAAGAATTTACAGTTGATTAAAGTGATATAAGCCATTCCTTTTGTTCCACTGGATATGAATCATTAAGTATGATGGTCATGATATCAATCTTGATCTCCTTTATGATCTGCTCTATACTCTTGGATTTCATATCAAACAGTCTGCAGTTGCGTTCCCCCCATATCCTGTAGATAGTAGAAGATAGTGACATTCTTTTCACTTTTTGTTTAAAACCTCTACCTCTCAGTCTGCAATTAAACCAATCCAGCAAGCGGTTCCATTCACAAGTCTTCCAATCGAATTGAAGCCAGTTCATAATCTCATTCCAGACTGCACTAGTGAAGCTGCATTCAAAAAAGAGGTGGTTTCGGGATTCAACAACATTTTCATTGCACAAACAACAGAGGCCAATGGTGATGATTCCTCTTTTGAGCAATCGATCTCTTGTAAGAAGCCTGTTCTGCACTGCAAGCCACATAATGAAACAGTGCTTTGGGTAGCTCATATTATCCCACACTGTTGTGAACCATGGGACCTTTGTAGCAGCAGGGGAAATTTTTGAATAAAGCTCAGATAGACACACTTTTGAGTTCCTATGACAGGAACTGATAATTTGCTTCAAAGCATCTACACTTCCACACTTCACAATGGCTTTATCCCTGGCTTTGAGCAGTTGTTTCCATAGCCATGAGTCCCCTTTTCTCACTGCAACTTGCCAAATTGATGTATCCTTTAAGTAGTTTCCGTGGATCCATTTTATCCACAACAACTCTTTGTGTGTATGTAAAAACCAAATGGTCCTTAATGCAGAGGTTATGCTCCATATGTTTGCAGAAAAAACCCCCAGACCGCCATGCTTCCTCTCTTTACAAACTTTATCCCAAGCAACCAGTGGTGATTTAAACACTTGATCTGTTTTACCCCATAGGAAATCTCTACACAAATCATCAATTTTCTGCAGGACCCTTGCTGGCAGAATATAATTTGAGGTCCAAAATATTTGGACACCCAGAATAACAGTTTTAATGACATGAAGTCTACCAGCATATGACAAATGTTTCTGTTTCATCCAGATTTGAAATTGATTGGATATTTTCTGGAAAAGAGGATTGCAGTCCATGTATGAAAGTCTCTTGCTAATTAAAGGAACACCAAGATATCTTATAGGGAATATACCTTCAGGAAAACCCAGGCTATCATATATTTGGGCTTTGACAGATTCTTTAACTCCTCCAAAGAAAATTGCACATTTAGAGAGATTTGCTTCAAGGCCAGAAGTGATTCCAAAATCTTTGACACACTGATATAATCTTTGGATTGAGTAAAAATCCCCTTTACAGAACAAGAGGAGATCATCGGCAAAGGTGAGATGTGTAATCTTGAGCTGACCACACTTAGGATGAAACTTGAACTTCTTATCATGTTTCAGCATATTCAAATTTCTAGAGAGATAGTCCATGCCTATAATAAACAGATAGGGTGACAGGGGGTCCCCCTGCCTCAACCCTCTTTCCCCTTTGAAGTATCCATGCATAGAACCATTAAGAGAGATGGAATATTTAGGAGAAGAGATACATGTCATAATCCAGTTAGTAAAGACATTTGGGAAGCCCAATCCTTTCAGCAAGCTCTCCAGGAAATCCCAACTGATTGTATCAAATGCTTTCCTAATATCTATGTTAAGCATGGATCTTGGGGATATCTGTTTTCTCCCATAATTTTTCACAAGCTCATGTGCTAATAGGATATTATTAGAAATTTGCCTACCCTTAACAAAAGCACTCTGAGCTTCACTGATGATAGATCCAACAACAGTTTGTAGTCTATTTGCAAGGATTTTTGAAATAAATTTGTATAGACAGTTGCAACATGAAATTGGTCAAAAATCTGCAGGAGTTTGAGGACAGTGTACCTTAGGAATGAGGGAAATAGAGGTAGAATTTACAGCTCCAAGAAGTTTTCCAGTTTTGAAGAATTCTTCAATTGCTGAAATAATATCCTCCCCCACAATTGGCCAAGCAGATTTGTAAAAAGAGGAGCTGTAACCATCAGGTCCTGGGGCCTTATTTTCTGGGATAGAGAACACAGCCAGCTTGATTTCTTCTTTAGTAACAGGACTAGATAGATTCCTAGCTTGAATATCAGTAAGGCATGGACCACTCTGGATTATGTCAATGCTTGGCTTAGTGGTTGAAACAGCAGTCCCCATCAGATTCTTGAAGTAAGAGATGAGTTCATCAGCAATATCATCACCTTCAGTGATTTTTTCTCCCAAGCTGTTATAGAGGACCATAACTCTATTATGGTGTCTGTTTGTCTTAATAACAGAATGAAAGAACTTTGTGCTTCTATCCCCCTGGAGACACCATGCAACTCTTGATTTTTGTTGATAGAAGGATAATTCACATTCCAAGAGTTTGTTATAAGAGCTTAAGCACTTTTTCTCCTGATTAATGAGGGTGGAATTAAGAGGCTCAAGTTGTAGCATATTTTGAACATTCTCAAGCTCAGCTTTGGCTCTGAGGACTTTTTCACTGATATTGTAAAAACTCCTTTTATTTAGATCTTTTAGTGCATTCCTTAGGAGCTTCAGCTTAGTGTGCACTTTGAACATTGTGTATCCTTCATTAGTGCATTCCTTAGGAGCTTCAGCTTAGTGTGCACTTTGAACATTGTGTATCCTTCAATGGGAGTTTGCCATACTGCTGCAACTGTAGAGAGGCTTAGTGTGCACTTTGAACATTGTGTATCCTTCAATGGGAGTTTGCCATACTGCTGCAACTGTAGAGAGGAAATTATCATGCTTGGCCCACATTTGAAAAAATCTAAAAGGTTTTTTACCTTTGACATTATCCTCATATATAGACACCAGGGCAGGAGAGTGGTCAGAGAAAGAAGGAGATAAGAATTCAACATGGCTCGAATTATGATCTAGTAGCCAGGAATCATTTACTAAAGCCCTGTCAAGCCTACTCCATATCCTTGTGTTAGAGTCCTGTTTATTGTTCCAAGTAAAGAAACAACCAGTGGTTTTGAGATGTAACAGGTTACAGTCTTCAATAAACTGATTAAAATCTTTAGTATCTGCTTCAGAAAGCATTGAGCCCCCTAACTTCTCCTCATTGCTTAGTATGGCATTGAAATCTCCACATATAAGCCAGGGTGCATTGCCTAAGCTGTGGTATATCTGAGATAATTCTGACCATAGAGATTTCCTGGCTACCATATGATTTGAACCATAGATTGTAGATATGATACAATTTAATTTTCCATCAGTGGACTTCACTGCACATGTCACTTGCTGAGCTGAAAAACTGTTTACTTGAATATCCATAATATGTGGATCCCATAGTATAATTATTCTGGCTTTATCATTATTATCCCCATTTGAAAACCAGTTCCAGTCTTTGACTATCTTCTTAGCAATTGATTGAACATTACCATCCTTAATCTTAGTTTCAAGAAGGGCTAGGAATGATAAGTGATATTGCATTCTGTGATTTTTCACCATATGTTGCTTAGGGGATTTATTTAATCCCCTAACATTCCAAAAGGACAGGTTCATGAATTTGAACCCCCCCTGTCAATTTCAGAGGGATAAACTCCATTAGTCAGATTTGTCAAAGGAGAGAAAGAGTTTATAGATTTACTTTTTGATTTCCTGTTTTGACTCAATGTCCAGGGGTTCTCATTTTCCTTCCTTCCAGAATCAGATTGTTGAGCCTGTGCAACATGCACAGACCTGAGAATTCCAGTAGGTTCAGCAAGTTGTTCTAGCCCTTTCAGAGAGTATTGTCCATCTGAGTTACCAACTGTGCCTTCAAGACTATTCAGAGTCTGCAAAACATGCACAGCATGCACAGCATGTACAGTATTTTCCCCAGCAGAAGATTTCCTACTATCCCTACTAATTGGATTACTAATTACTTCTAACGTCTAATATTAATTTTGTTGGCCTTCTTGTTTTAATGATGATTTAACAAACAATTTACGACTAATATTGGTTTTAGTATTTTGTTTTGTGTTGTTTAGTATACATAGAAAAATAAGCTACATTGATATTGAAGCGTATGCAAATCAAGTCAAT